CAAATTGAAGCCCAAGGACAACTCTTTATCGGCATAGACAAAGTCAGCCTCGGTCATAGCTCGGCCTTTATATTTGAGCTCGGGTGCCTAAACTGGGGGGGAGGGCAGTGGGGCGAGTAGAATGCTCGACAGAGGTCTGTTCAGTTTGTTTTCCTTATCCAATGGAAAGAAGCTTGGTGGAATCATCGTCGACCAGTCGCTACTCGGTCAAGGTTTGCCTCGGTCTCTTCTTCGACCAACCAATAACTTCTTCACTAGCAAGAGCCAACACTGGTCCTTTTTGGACGGCTGGCCTAGAAGATTAGCCTTCAGTCGTCTTACCCTACTGGGCCCGCCAATAATCATGGCCTTGATGGCACGGATTTTAGTCATCTCTTACTCGATGGTCAGAGAGACAAGATTGATCGGTGGAAGATTTGGGTCGGGCTAAGGCGAGGGCTCACCCAAGAAATTGGTGACCCTGCTTTTGTGCAATGCACGATGTCGGTAGCTTGGTTAGTAGCCGAGTAGTTTGTAGCACTCACATTCTTTTACCGGATACTGCAAAGCAACCCTGATAGCCTCTTGGTTGATGCGAGAATAATCTTCCGCTAAGAGTGTGTAATCTGCATGAAATTGAGAAGTGTTAGATCGACAAATACAGATTAAATACAAAAACATAAACCGTGCTATGCTGCTCACCAACACTCCCGAAATCCTTACGGATGTACCAACCCAGTATGGGCACCTCAGTGTCTTCGTAATTCCTAAACACCCATAGAAAATCATCATCATTTAATTTTTTGTCTGGGTTACCCTCTATGAGTTTTGCTCAGCCCTTTCTAACCCTTAGGTACCAGTAGAAACCCCCTTTATTATTGTTAAGTGTGTATTGGTGGAATATCTCGGCAAGGCTGAGGTTCAAACCTAGGATCCGGTTCAACGCGGCCATGCTGTTTATTATTTTGTAAGTGTTGTTGGAGACTTGGGTTGGGCACAACCTAGTCTGCCTCAAAAACTCGCAGACTAGGGGCTGGACTAGAAAGGGAAGGCCACTTTCGACTATGAACACAACGGTAAAGGGGTAGGCGTCCAATTTACCCTATGGTGTATCTCCCTTCTTGGCTAACTCAATTTGGACGTCATCCGGGATGCTGAACTCCCTATGGAACTCGGCTATGGCCCCAGGCGAGTTGACCATAAAGCGGTATTTGTCCATTTATCCCGGTTTTATTTCGTTTATTAAATCTAATTTATTGCTGGGAAGATGGTTGCTTAGTCTGTAAGCATCACCAATTTGCAAGGTTGAGGTGTGCCTGGTTGGTCCTAGTTCGGTCTGCATAATAGAAATCAAGTGCAAGTATTAGCTCAGCATAGTCTGCACGGCTTCAAGATTAAAAGGCATTTTAGCTTGGCTACTAGAATGAAACTTGTTACCTTGGTTTGGGACTTGGGGTATTAGGCTGGCTTTGGGCCTTAGTGTCTAATATTTGTGCTCCTATCTTGGTTCGGTGTTCTTACGAGCTTCTAGCGTGGACACAATCACTTGGAAGAACCACAAACAAGTCTTAGCCTAGCTCAATCCTATTTTTGATCTAAAAGTGGGATTTTGCTCGGTTTTGTCCATAATTTGTGTTGTTTATCCTAAATACAAGGTTGCATACGGAAACTCAAGAGAATGAGGGGCACGGAGGCCCCACGCATGTTTTTAGTTGCGGTTTTGTCTAATTTCTACGAGTATCCATCGGTTTTACCCCAAGAAGAGGGTACCGACAGGATATTAACAATCCCAAATGAGAAACGTTTGAAGAACACAAAGAACAAGGACAAAATGAAAGGGTTTGAAGAAACTCACCAAACAACGACGTAGGATGTTGACTTAATTGGATGGAAGGCCTCAATGGGTGGTGGCGAGTCCGACAGAGCAAGAAAAATGACCTGAAACACGTGACGCAGTGGCGGCAATGGTGGTAGAAGCTCAGATGTTTAGGGTTTAGCGTGAGAGAGATGATGAACAGTGATGGGGTGTTTGGCCTTTTGCACATATATATGGGGGGAAACCCAAAAGGCGGCAACTTTTCAAATTTTGGACATAGTGGGGACAACTATGAAGTTGTACGGAACAAAGAGGGGAGTGCCACGTAGCACAGAGTTGATGGGTTGTCAGTACGACTAATAGACCATTAATACGGCTGATTGATTGATGACAAGACAATTGACGCAAGTCTTAACGAGCCGGAAAAAGTCGGTAGCTCGGTTGACAAAGGTAATCCCAACCACGTTTAGCACAGATGAGATTAAGGGGCAATTGAGAATGAGATTTATACCGAATTGTGGACCGAGCTAGGTACGACACGGTTGCATTGCGTTGAGTTTAGGTAAGCACAGAAATGGCGTTGGGCTAAGTAAAGGCCGTACAGCAGTCGTATTGAGTCGCGTCAACTTGGAACGATTCTTGGTGCGACCGATCTAAATTCGTCACCGCAGATTGAAAAAGCACTGAGAGAACCCTCGTGACTGGGATGATGGACAGCATGCTTGCGTTTGGCCGGTTTGAAGAAATATGAGCTAGGTTCTAACCGAGCTGCCAGCTACCTATATTCAGTCCGGTGTCAGAGAGACAATGTTTGACGTAATTCGGCCTTGACACCGAGGGAATGGTCGATCAAACTTACCTTGGCATTAGAGAAGTCAGAGTTGGTGCTATTTATCGCCAAGTAATAGTTTGGTCAACTATTCCACGTAGACCAATAACGAGAAGAGAAAAATCTACTCCTGATATGCATCAATACTGTTTGGTAGTGCGACAAACACTGTTTGGTGGTTTTGGTCTCTACAAGTATAAGAAATGTAGAGGGGAGCACGGCCGCTTGTCCAATGAAGAATAGCAGAGATAGCGTACCCACAATCTCTGAGATTGCATGGCCAGCCTTGAAAAGGAGGAGCATACTGACGTTAGAGGTAAGCAATTTTGTGCAACTCTCTCTTTCTCTCTACTGTGCTTTGCCTTCTCTCTTCTCCAAGAACGCTAACTTGACCGTCGGAGGAGTTTTCCGGCAAACCCATCCGCTGGGTAGCTCTCATTCGTTTTGTTTATAGTGTGACGGAGTTCTAACGCAGTGCGACGAGCTTGGTAGCAAGGAAGCATGAAGCGAGGCGAATATTTCTCTCCCGTACATCAATACATCAGTAGGGGTCATGAGGGTCTTCTTTTGTAGAGATCCCAAACATTTTCCTACGTTTTAATTGTTAAAATTGAAATTTTGAAGTTTAAATTAAAAAATACGTGAAATTTTGATTTTTTTTTAAAGTTACCCAACTAAGTATTATAAAATTTAAAATTAATATTTTATAAATAGGTAAATTATGCTCATAATTTTCTGAAATTTGAAGAAAATATTAATTTCACACTTGATATAATTACACTGGTGTCTCTCAAAATTTTAATTTACATAATACATATGTTATTTTTTATCAATAATTTGTGAGTCATATGGATGAAAATGTGATATTATTATTATTATTATTATTATTATTTTACTAAAATGTATATTTACCATTGTTTATTTCATTATTTACTCACTATATGCATTAATTTTGATGGATTCAACTTTATTAAATAAGAAGTCAGTGTAATTATTTTAAACTTGTGGGATTAATTGTATTTTTTTTCAAAATTTAAGGGAGGTGAGAGGCGAGTCTAATTTAGGGGATTCTATTTGCATTTAAAAAATTATGAAGTACACTTAATTTTTTAATACTCTCGATTAAATTATTTAAGGGCAAATAAAATCACCGGTGTAATTTATCTTTTATAAAAAGGCGGGCGGAATTGGAATGAAACCCGGCGGAAAAAGTAAAAGGGATAAAAAATTTATTCTGGCCCAGCCCAATTTAAAATATCAGACTTAACTGGACCGATTGGGCCGCACAGGACCTCAACCCACCGAATTTGTAGGTAGCGATTTGTGGTAATGGGCCGAATGGGAACTTACTATTAATCTTAAGCATGTTGTTTGGCAAGTGGGTTTGCAGACTTTTTTGGCTATTTTAGTCACAAAAAACAAAATAAGTTATTTTAGTCATAACAAATAAAACATCACATCCAACCCATAATCATTACATTCTTCTCTCACAAAAAAACTCAAAAAAGTCAAAAAGCCAAAAAGTCCTTCCCAAACCAAGCTTTTAAGCCCAGGCTAAAATAGTCAAAAAAGCCAAAAAGCCAAAAGCCAATCCACTTCCCAAACCAAGCCTAATTAAGAGGTTATTTGGGATGACCCAAATAAGTGCACTTTTTGTCTTTTTATGAAAAGATGTACAAAAAAGTAGAAAGGTGATGTGATAAAAAAAAGATAAAAAGATAAAAAGTGCGTACTTATTTTGAGTAGCCAAACTTGGCCTACATGTCAATTCAGATCTCATTTGACTGTCTTTAATTTTAGTGTTGGTTTAGGTTAATCTAAGTAAGTGTTTATTTATTTATTTATTTATATATATATATATATATTTTTATTTGAGTCATATTAATCAACATCTATCAATATCTCTTATCTATTTTTTAAATTACTTTCTTTATTTTTTACACATTTTTTTTTATATAAAAAGTCAAAAAGTACACTTATTTAGCCTTTGTCTGGAAAAACAAGATTGAGGTTTTTTTGGCTATTTTAGACATAAAAAACAAAATAGACTTTTTAGTCTAATAAGATAAAACATTACATTCAACCTATAATCATTACATTCTTTCTCTAAGAAAAAACTAAAAAAAGCCAAAAAATCAAAAATTTTTTCCAAACCAAACTTTTTAACCCCAAACTGAAATAGTCAAAAAAAAATAAAAAACATTAAAAAACCAATTTACTCCCAAACGAAAACATCTCAAACTATCCCTTAATTAAAAAAATTAAAAAATTATTAGAAATTATCACATTATTTTTATTTATTATTTTTTTATATATTCTTTTATAAAAAATTAAAAAAAAAAATTATTAAAATAATCCAAACAACGGCTCATATATTACTTCTCTGAAGAACTAAAAATCAAGAGGGAGGAAGAGTCGACGAGAAAGAGAGAGAAGAAAATGTTTTTAAGGATGGTGGCGAGGCCGTTGATGGCGAAGGTGAAGGAGACAACAGGGATAGTGGGGCTAGAGGTGGTGCCGAACGCGAGAGAAGTGTTGATCAGTCTCTACGGCAAAACCCTAAAGGAGATCCAGGCCGTCCCGGAGGACGAGGGCTACCGGAAGGCCGTCGAGAGCTTCACTCGCCACCGCCTCAAGGTTTGCCAGGAGGAAGACGACTGGGAAATCATCGAGAAGCGCCTCGCTTGTGGCCAGGTCGAAGAGCTCATCGAAGAAGCCCAGGACGAGCTCAAGCTCATCGCCAAGATGATCGGTACCTACATTTCAATACTCTCTCTCTCTCTCTCTCTCACATTACTAAATTCAATTTTAATTTTCACTCTATTTCTGTGTCTCTTTAGTTTTTTAGAACAATGTAGGGTGATCCGAAGAATAAGAAGGAAAATTTGAGTTTTAGGGCCAGTTTGGTTCCACGAATTGCATTCCTTCATTTTCAATGAACTTAAATTCAAATGTTATCAAGGATTTGAATCTCCCAACTGTATTTTAGGCAAGGATGGATCCACCACCACCCCCAAAAATTTGAAAAATATCATATATTATACTAGAAAATTCAAATATATTATACTAGACCGAGGTCTGTTCAGTTTGTTTTCCCTATCCAACGGAAGGAAGCTTGGTGGAATCATCGTCGGCCAGTCGCTGCTCGGTCAAGGTTTGCCTCGGTCTCTTCTTTGACCGACTAGTAACTTGTTCACTAGCAAGAGCCAACACTGGTCCTTTTCGCACGGCTGGCCTAGAAGATTAGCCTTCAGTCGTCTTACCCTACTGGGAATCACTTGGCCCGCCAATAATCATGGTCTTGATGGCACGGATTTTAGTCATCTCTTACTCGATGGTCAGAGAGCCAAGATTGATCGGCGGAAGATTTGGGTCAGGTTAAGGCGAGGGCTCACCCAAGAAATTGGTGACCCTGCTATTGTGCAATGCACGATGTCAGTAGCTCGGTTAGTAGCCGAGTAGTTTGTAGCACTCACGTTCTTTTACCGGATATCGCAAAGCAACCCTGATAGCCTCTTGGTTGATGTGAAAATAATCTTCCGCTAAGAGTGTGTAATCTACATGAAATTGAGAAGTGTTAGATCGACAAATACAGATTAAATACAAAAACATAAACTGTGCTATGCTGCTCACCAGCACTCCCGAAATCCTTACTGATGTACCAACCCAGTATGGGCACTCAGTGTCTTCGTAATTCCTAAACACCCATAGAAAATCATCATCGTTTAATTCTTTGTCTGGGTTACCCTCTATGAGTTTTGCTCGGCCCTTTCTAACCTTCAGGTACCAGTAGAAACCCCTTTATTATTGCTAAGTGTGTATTGATGGAATATCTCAGCAAGGCTGAGGTTCAAACCTAGGATCCGGCTCAACGCGGCTACGCCGTTTATTATTTTGTAAGTGTTGTTGGAGACTTGGGTTGGGCACAACCTAGTCTGCCTCAAAAACTCGTAGACTAGGGGCTGGATTGGAAAGCGAAGGCCACCTTCGACTATGAACACAACGGTAAAGGGGTAGGCGTCCAATTTACCCTATGGTGTATCCCCTTCTTGGCTAACTCAATTTGGACGTCATCCGGGATGCTGAACTCCCTACGGAACTCGGCTATGGCCCCAGGCGAGTTGACCATAAAGCGGTATTTGTCCATTTATCCCGGTTTTATTTCGTTTATTAAATCTAATTTATTGCTGGGAGGATGGTTGCTTAGTCTGTAAGCGTCACCAATTTGCAAGGTTGAGGTGTGCCTGGTTGGTCCTAGTTCGGTCTGCATAATAGAAATCAAGTGCAAGTGTTAGTGCAGCATAGTCTGAACGGCTTCAAGATTAAAAGGCATTTTAGCTTAGCTACTAGAATGAAGCCTGTTACCTCGGTTTGGGACCTGGGGTATTAGGCCGGCTTTGGGCCTTAGTGTCTAATATTTGTGCTCCTATCTTGGTTCGGTGTTCTTACGAGCTTCTAGCGTGGACGCAATCACTTGGAAGAACCACAAACAAGTTTTAGCCTAGCTCAATCCTATTTTTGATATAAAAGTGGGATTTTGCTCGGTTTTGTCCATAATTTGTGTTGTTTATCCTAAATACAAGGTTGCATACGGAAACTCAAGAGAATGAGGGGCACGGAGGCCCCACGCATGTTTTTAGTTGCGATTTTGTCTAATTTCTACGAGTATCCATCGATTTTACCCCAAGAAGAGGGTACCGACAGGATATTAACAATCCCAAATGAGAAAAGTTTGAAGAACACAAAGAACAAGGACAAAATGAAAGGGTTTGAAGAAACTCACCAAACAATGACGTAGGATGTTGACTTAATCGGATGGAAGGCCTCAATGAGTGGTGGCGAGTCCGATAGAGCAAGAAAAATGACCTGAAACACGTGACCCAGTGGCGGCAACGGTGGTAGAAGCTCAGATGTTTAGGGTTTAGCGTGAGAGAGAAGATGAACAATGATGGGGTGTTTGGCTTTTTGCACAGATATATGGGGGGAAACCCAAAAGGCGGCAACTTTTCAAATTTTGGACATAGTGGGGACAATTATGGAGTTGTACGGAACAAAGAAGGAAGTGCCACGTAGCACAGAGTTGATAGGTTGTTAGTACAACTAATAGACCATTAATACGGCTGATTGATTGATGACAAGACAACTGACGAAGTCTTAACGAGTCGGACAAAGTCGGTAGCTCGGTTGACAAAGGTAATCCCAACCACGTTTAGCACAAATGAGATTAAGGGGCAGTTGAGAAGGAGATTTATACCGAATTGTGGACCGAGCTAGGTACGACATAGTTGCGTTGCGTTGAGAGGTAGGAACAGAAATGGCGTTGGGCTAAGTAAAGGCTGTACAGCAGTCGTACTGAGTCGCGTCGACTTGGAACAATTCTTGGTGCGACTGATCTAAATTCGTCACCGCGGATTGAAAAAGCACTGAGAACCCTCGTGACCGGGATGATGGACAACATGCCTGCGTTTGGCCGGTCTGAAGAAATATGGGCTAGGTTCTAATCGAGCTGCCAGCTACCTATATTCAGTCCAGTGTCAGGGAGACAATGTTTGACGTAATTCGGCCTCGACGTCGAGGGAACGGTCGATCAAACTTACCTTGGTATTAGAGAAGTCAGAGTTAGTGCTATTTATCGCCAAGTAATAGTTCGGTCAACTATTCCACGTGGACCAATAACGAGAAGAGAAAAATCTACTCCTGATATGCATCAATACTGTTTGGTAGTGCGACAAACACTATTTGGTGGTTTTGGTCTCTACAAGTATAAGAAATGTAGAGGGGAGTACGGCCGCTTGTCCAATGAAGAACAACAAAGACAGCGTACCCACAATCTCTGAGACTACATGGCCAGCCTTGAAAAGGAGGAGCATACAGACGTTGGAGGTAAGTAATTTTGTGCAACTCTCGCTTTCTCTCTACTGTGCTCTGCCTTCTCTCTTCTCCAAGAACACTAACTTGACCGTCGGAGGGGTTTTCCGGCAAACCCATCTGCTGGGTAGCTCTCATTCGTTTTGTTTATAGTATGACGGAGTTCTAACGAAGTGCGACGAGCTTGGTAGCAAGGAAGCATGAAGCGAGGCGAATATTTCTCTCCCGTACATCAATACATCAGTAGGGGTCATGAGGGTCTTCTTTTGTAGAGATCCCAGACATTTTCCTACGTTTTAATTGTTAAAATTGAAATTTTGAAGTTTAAATTAAAAAATACATGAAATTTTGAAATTTTTTTTAAGTTACCCAACTAAGTATTATAAAATTTAAAATTAATATTTTATAAATAGGTAAATTACGCTCACAATTTTTTGAAATTTGAAGAAAATATTGATTTCACACTTTTGACATAATTACATTGGTGTCTCTCAAAATTTTAATTTACATAATACATATGTTATTTTTTATCAATAATTTGTGAGTCATATGGATGAAAATGTGATATTATTATTATTATTATTTTACTAAAATATATATTTACCATTGTTTATTTCATTATTTACTCACTATATGCATTAATTTTGATGGATTCAACTTTATTAAATAAGAAATCAGTGTAATTATTTTAAACTTGTGGGACTAATTGTATTTTTTTTCAAAATTTAAGGGAGGTGAGAGGTGAGTCTAATTTAGGGAATTCTATTTGCATTTAAAAAATTATTAAGTACACTTAATTTTTTAATACTCTCAATTAAATTATTTAAGTGCAAATAAAATCACCGGTGTAATTTATCTTTTATAAAAAGGCGGGCCGAATTGGAATGAAACCCAGCGGAAAAAGTAAAGGGGAAATTACCCATAGGTCCCATGTGGAACATGTGGACACCATTTAATCCCATAACTTTTTGAGTACACCCAAAAGTCCTTTCCCCTCTCTCTCTGCTTTTTGCTTCCCTCTTTACGCCTCCTCCTCTAACCCTAATCTCAGTCCTAAAGTCAAACAAGAAGGCGATGAAGAACAAGAACAAGAAGACGATGAAGAACAAGAACAAGAAGACGCTCATCCTCAGATCTGTGCTTAGATTGAACAGATTTGTGTATATATCTTTGTCAATTTCTCTCTCTTTCTTTCTCTATTTACAGATTTTTTTGGGGATAGTTGTTGATCTATGGTTGTTGTTGTTGATGATAAAATAGATCTATAATATCATTGAAACAGATCTGTAATGACTCAGATTTGTACAGATATCACACAGATTTGTAATGAGAAAATTTTCGAATTCTGAACAAGTAATTTTCGAGTTTTAGTTACAGGCGGTGAAAACTGTAAAATTTTGCAGTTTCAAATTTTTTTTTTTTTGGTGCTGGAATGAATCATGGTTTAAAACTGTAAAATTTTGCAGTTTTATAACATTTTTTAGAACTGTAAAATTTTACAGTTTCATAACATGTTTTAAACATTCTGACGAGTCTCTGGCGATGTTGAATATTTCGACGAGTCTCCGGCGACCGTTTGACGGAAGTCCGACGGTAGTAAAATGTGAACAGTGTCAGTAAATTAAAAAAAAAAAAAAAAGGATTTTTTGGTAACAATTAAAAATGTATTGAACTAATTGGTGCAAGTATTTTGTTTTGGGATTAGCTGGGTTTTGAACTTAGTACATGGGACTTATTAGTAAGTTCCCCTTTATTTTTTCAGACCCTACGTGTATATAATTTATAAAAAGATCAAACCGATCTGATATTCGTAATCCCTTCATTTTATTAAATTTGTAACCAAAAACATGGATGATCTATTTTTAAAACACATTGACCTATAATTTTTTTAGATACAAATTCTATAAAATGAAAAGGTTATGAATATCATATCAACTAATTTTTTTTTTATGAATAATATACACGCAAAACCTGATAAAATGAATAGTTCAAGTTATCGAAACGAGACCTGTAACAAACTTCACAGGCCGAACAAG